CTTCCCCTCCCCCTTTTCTGATGAAGGGTCTAGGCCCGAAACGTCAGCCTCTCTGCTCCTATGATGCTGCTTGGCCTGCTGTGTTCATCCAGCCCTGCACCTTGTTGTCTCGGATTCTCCAGCATCTGCAGTTCCTACTATCTCTAACTGGAAAGGTTGCTCTGCAAGTTAAGTTTTGTTTCCAAATCATGACATCACATCTAATCATTTGCCATCACTTTGTTTTAAAATGGATTTGCCTGTCAAATAATCCAGGAAAGTGACCATAGCGCACATGTGTTAATGTTGATCTTCCGGCAGATGGGATGAGCTGTACACACTGGCTAGTAAACCCACAGAGAGCCATGTCCTATTCGCAGAGCATTTTGATGATGCTGTCAATGGTCTCTACAGCACACTCACCAGCTCTGATGTCTGCTCTGCTATTCCTCCAGGTAATCAGCAAATTCCTTTAACAAATGTACAGAGGGATCTTGGGGTTTAAGTCCACAGCTCCCTGAAAGTGGCCATCCAAGTAGATAGGGTGGTAAAGGAGACATATGGCATGCTTGCCTTTATTGGTCCGGGAATTAAATACAAGAAGCAGGGTGTCATGTTGCAGCTTTACAAGTCTTTGGTTAGGCCATACTTAGAGTATTGCGTTCAGTTCTGGTGGCCACATTACAGGAAGGATGTGGAGGCTTTGGAGAGGGTTCAGAAGAGCTTTACCAGGATACTGCCTGGATTAGAGGGTATGAGCTATAAGGGGAGGCTAGAAGAACTCTGGTTGTTTTCTCTGGAGTGGCAGAGGCTGAGGGGAGACTTGATAGAAGTCTATAAAATAGATAAGGTTGATGGTCAGAATTTTTTTTCCCAGAGTTGAAATGTCTCATACTAGGGGGCATGCATTCAAAGTGAGAAGGGGAAAGTTCAAAGGAGATGTGAGGGGCAAATGTTTTACACCAAAGTGGCAGGAAGCTGGAACACACTGTCAGGGATGGTGGTGGAGGCAGATATGATAGGGGCATTTAAGGGACTTTTAGATAAGCACATAAATATGCAAGGAATGGAGTGATATGGACCAATGGCAGGCAGAAGAGATTAGTTTCATTTGGCTTCATGTTCGGCACAATATTGTAGGCCGAAGGGCCCGTTCCTGTGTTGTACTCTTCTGTGTTCCATGTTCTATAACGTGTTTATATTACCGAGTGTGTCAATGTATGGTCATATGATTATACATATTAGTAGCATAAGTAAGCCATTTAGCCCCTTTACCATGCTGTACCATTTAACAATGGTTGGTCTGACAGTGAAAAGTGACAGCCTAGTGGTATTATCTGT